CACCACCTGTGAAAGTGCTCATTGCTAAGACTAATGCCAGCTTTTTCACACAGGCCTTGAAAACCCCTTCAGAGCTTGTGTGTCATGTACTATTCACTATTGTTCTGAGGCACGCCAAAAATAACAAAAAACTGAAAATGAGTTAAAGAGGTTTAACAACGAAAATATGACAACTATCTGAATTTCAAGAAATAAAAAAAACCTATCTGGAAATATGTAGCATTAATCTACTTATTGTAGTAAGATCATTTTCACATGCAAAGAGATTGTATTGTCCCAACACTGTTATAATTTCTCTAAGTGTAGCTGGTAGCTATTGCACAACAAGTATATAATGAAGAGCACAAATTGTCTTTAGTTTTCAGAAGTAGTACACAGCAGTTTTCGGCATTCTGACGCCTTGACATCATAAAGGCCAGAAATGTTTCTTGCATTGTTTGCCCAACAGTGATGGATACATCAATGACAGGCTCTATGCAGGCTGATTTTTGCCTGCAAGGCCTCCAATGTCAATATTCCTATAGATAAATGAGCTGTTTATAGTATACCTGCCAATCTCTGCAAAAACCATCTCCTGTTTCCTTTTCCTAAGGGCAACAGAAAAGTATTTTTATTCTGCTGGACATTATTTAGGTAAATCCAGAGAAACTAAGGAATTTGGATAATCTACTTTGTTGGCCTAATTAGTCTCTCTCCAGCCAAAACATTTTTGAACGAGTAAGGAGGGATTATAACCCATCTGGGTTTTTTTTCTACACAAACAAAAACTTTTTTAAACTGAAGTCCAGCCATTTTTTTCCCACACACGTGTTCTCTCTTGTGTTGAAACTAATTAATCTCCATTAATTTCCTGTCTGATCATTCATCAATCACTTCTCCCTTTGATCCGTACTATTGTTGGCCCCCTTTCTCACAGCTATTCGCTTTCCCTGCCATCAATTATTTTGTTACTGAGCTTTATGTTAAAGAACACATCCCTGGTATCCCTTTTAGATGTGTATGAAACGGGTAAGCAGATTGCTCAGCGAAAGTGTGCAGCACCCAGTAGTCAGCAGTGAGAAGCAGGCACATCTGAAGGGATCCCAGGGATGTGTTCCTTCATATAATGCTTTGAAAAAGATCTGAGGCAGAAATCTGCAACATTTACAGGAGCCTGCCGCCCTCGTCCACCAAACTCAAAGCAAAGAGCAGCAGACAGACCCAGTATTGACATCATTGGATCTCAAAACAGGTATTTCTTAAACTAAATCATTTGATTGAAAGTATTTACTTGGAGATTGATCTAGGGGAGAGGGAACAAGAGGAAGGTACTATATGCGTACACAACACTTTAGCTTTTAACAATTCAAAAAGTGCAGAAAACTCTAGGAATGGACCAGCAGTAATGTCAAAATATAATATGTGAAAAAGAAAACTTGCAAATGATCCTTGTTACTTGAACTGGTTTATTTATAACCCATTTTTAATTTGATATTAAACCATATCTAAAGCTATAAACTGTCACTGCTTTGTCATAAACTTCTATAATAAAACTGATAATAATGCATTCATATTTTCTATTAGGTGCTAACCTCCGTCTTCTCTTTTTATAGGCATCCTGCAATTTGTGGAAATAACAACTGGTATCTTAGTGCTGATCTGTGTTATTACATCATATGCTGTTCTCTCTGGCTACACATCTGCTGCTGGTTTTGGCTCTTTCAGCATTGATTCAATGTACACCCCATTTGAAGGCACAGAGCTGCAGAAAGTAAGGGATGCAGACCTGCAGTACAGTCAACTGCGAGCACCAGGAGTATATGTTGGAGTGGCCTTCAGCTTGGTTATATGCGGACTTACAATCGTCTTCTTGATTCTGGGCGCTAAGCCCATACATAGGGTGTCCATCAAGCTGCTTTTTGCAGAGCTAATTTTTGATTCCATTGCTTGTTTGGGTTATGTTGTCGCAGTTGGTCTGTACCTGCACTTTATCAAACAGGTGAACGCTACTGACATCTGCAAGACTAGAGAGCGACTATATGCCGGCCGTGGCTATACCTGGATGAACTGTGAGGTGCAAGGGGGTGATGCTGCTGTTGCCATATTTGGTCTAATTGCTTGTGGTTTGTATTTGCCAAGCTCCATATTGTGTGGGTTATACATCAGAACTGTCCGCGACTTCAGGAAAAATCACATGTCTCATGAATATGCACCATCGGCCTATAGTGACAACCAACACAAACCGGATGAATACAGAAGAGGGAACCAAGAAGAGACTCCATTTCAACCAAGTACACTGGTATAAGTGCTTCCAAGAGACAATTTTTATATGTTCTGCAGCTTAACAGTCCTTAAATGTGGTGGCTGCATAATTTTTTTTTTCCTTTTTCAATCTAAACATTTTTTCATCAAGTACAGAAAATACCTTGAACTTGACAGAAATGGAGTGTCCTTGCACTTCCTGTGAGCTAAGCTAAAAACACAACAAATACACTTGTTCTAAGTGCTTCCAAAAGACATTGGAATAAAACAGCGACCATTGTTTTATATGCAAATTCATCTGTAAAATAGTATTATGTTCCCACTTTTACCTTTTTACTACAACAAACAAAATTTTTCAAAAAGTTGTTGACTTTATGGCTTTAATTCAGATTAGACTCATGCTTGCAGGTTCGACATGTTCAGATGATTATTCTAGGTAGAATGTTGCAACAGATTAACAAGGAGTGCTTTAATCCCCTTCCTGTCCAGACCCTTTTTCAGTATTCAGCCCTGCGGTATTTGACTGACATTTATTCCATCATGCAACGCTGTACTGAAATAAATGTTATACCATTTTTTGGGGACAGATAGAGCTTTCTTTCGGTGCTATTTAATCACCACTGGGGTTTTCTATTTTTTACCATTATAATGGAAAAAGTACCAAAAATGAATTTAAAAAAAAAAAAAATACAGTTTTCCCTTTACTATGTTAGGAAACATTTATTATTACCCAATTGTTTTGTAAAATATGAAAGATGGGGTCACTGCGGGTAAATAGACACCAAACATGTCAAGCCTTAAAATTGCGCACGCCCGCAAAATTGCAAAAAGGCTACCACACCCAAAATTGGCCATAGACGACACTTTAAAAGATTTTACCGCTCATCAGTTTAGTTTTAACAGCGATTGATGGCCCTAAAATTATCACTCTGACGTTCGCAATGATGTATAACAAGTGCTGCGTAATTGGCGCAATCGTAGTTTTTGCGTGTAGGTGCACCTAACGCATTTTTGCGCATCTGTGTGGGGGTGGGGGACTTAAAAAAAATTTGGGTTTTTTTTGTGTGTAAATATTATTTATTTTGTGACTAATTTTTTGTTTACTTTTTTTTTTTTTACACAACTTTATTGTTATCACATAGGGGGATAAGAATCCCCCTATGTGATATCACATTACAGCGACAGATCCCCTTTATGGAGACATCGGGGGTCTCTTAAGACCCCCAGAGAAGCTGATGAAGCACAGATCTGCTTCACCAGCTTCTCTCCAGTTTCCTTACCGGATATTGACAGAGGAATGCGGACGTGATGTAGTAAATATCACTTCCTGCATTCAGAGACTGGGGAGGAGAGCGTAGGGAGATCGTGTACTGAGCTCCCTCCATTCCCTGTGCACAGAGCCACATGGACCCACACTGACGGTCCCCGATCGGATGCCCAGTATCGCGGGGACGGTGAGGAGAGGTATGGGTGGGGGGGTACAGAGACATGCAGCATACAAGCGATCGGGCTGTTTAAAATTCCCGTTTACCGTTGGTTTCCCGTTTGTGCGCACCAGTGGGCGCTTAAAGACGTCCACCCGCATCCAGAAGACTCCGGTCCGGCCGTTTCTGAACGTTCGGTGGACGGGAGGTGGTTAAAGGAGAACTAAACCCAAGTGCAGACAATTTATATATTGCAGCTTAACAGTGTTAAAATGTGGTGACAGCAAATTTGTAAGCTAGGAACATTTTCAGCAAGCATAGAAAATACCTGTTGGACATGCCAGAATTGCAGTGTCCATGTCACTTCTGGTGAACTGAAAGCAAAAACAATGTTGTCTTTATTTTGTAAACTGCTAATTTCCCCATCTCCCATGTAATGGAGATAGACAAACAGGCTGAATAAAGGAAGCACTTGTCTGAAGTCCAGCCTGGGTGACAACCATGGCTCCCTCCATGGATACAGTGGAGAAGTGATCGTAGCCACCCAGGGCAGGGAGTGTGTTATTTGCACGATTAACAGGTAAAAAGAAAGAAAAAAAGAAAAACAAACTGTAATAAATATATTACATTATTGGTTGTGGGTCTGGATACGCTTTAGAGCTTTAAAGTCAATTTTCCACCTTTTTCTGAGTGTACATGAAGCAGGCATATGCAGTTGCTGTATATGAACACAGAAACTTACTTTATTATTATCTGTCCTTTTCATCTCCTCATGGCTACTTTAAAAATGGCCACTCTGCTTTGAAAGCAGTATATGTAAATGTACACTCTCTGAGCTCTCTCCCCCTAGTCATTAGTATTCACAGTGGCAAATGGTAATCCTTGACCTCGCTACCAGGCACATAACCCACCTGGTCACTTCATAGCTGTTAGCCAAAATTTTAGTGTACAGTTAAATGATTAGTGAGAATGGTCTGTAACTGGTACAGACTGAAGGGTCTTTCCCCTCCTTAGGACAAACTCTAATATGCGCCATGAGAGATTCAAGCTGCATGCACATACTCTTCTCCAATGAACTGATGTATTTCTAAAAGTGTTGGGTAAGATTGTCCTGGACTGTTAATCAATAAACTAATTGCACTTTGGGCTTTATAAGAAGTATTTCTCACTTTTAAAATAACTATTTTGGTTTATTATTGTGCTTATTCATGACAACTGTTTTCTCCAAGGCTAGATCATGTGTTATTGTAACGTCAACTAAGTAAAGCTTAGCACAACTGACATCTGCAGGTAATAAGATGTTGTACAGCTGACAAAGCTAAACCCAAATAATGTTGGTTTATAAAGCAGCTGTAGGGTCTTAAGACAGTCAGGGAACAGGTGCTTCGAAAAATAATCCTCCAGCACATAAAAAAAAGCAGTTATGCTTTACAAATGTGCCTTGCCCCTTCTGTTTGAAGCTGAGTACTAATTTTGTTTGCTGCTCTATTCAGAAATGGAATAAGGTGTTGGTATTTTACCATTGTAGCCTTTCCTATTCAAATGTTCTGAGCATTTGAAGAAGGCTTCTTGACGCCACTGTTATAAAAATGGTCATTTGAGTATCTCTTGACTTCCCGGAAGCAAGTTTGGCCATGCCATTCTAATTTCTCTCATTAACCAGGTGTTTTTACCCACCAAATTTGATGTTTTTTTGTCCCTTGTACCTTTTTTCTGCAAACCTCACCACCACATTTGGCATCAAAAAAATCACTAGAAGTCACAATAATCATATATATTCCCTCTTCTAATGTTTGGTCAAATCACAACTGAATAATTCTATTCCTGTGATACAATCACATCTAGGTAAAGCAATTTACGATTTACGAAATTATGATACATTGTACAATATTCCCAATAGATTTTCAGACATGAATCCTGTAGCATTTCGTGAACAACTACGTCAGTACGTAGCTGATACCTCACACCCTTCGTTTCCTCAGATAACGATGGAAGATTTAGAGCAACCTTTTTAGGGAAGAAGAAATTAAATATGCCATCTCCTCTTTGGGACTTGGAAAGAGCCCTGGTCCGGATGGCTTTACTCCTAGGTTCTATAAAAGCTTTATAGACATACTATCTCCTATGTTATTTATTACATATTTCCCCACAAATATATTTTTCTTCTCAGATTCTAGAAGCACATGTTACAGTTATACCAAAGCCTGGAAAACATTCTTCCATATGTGGTAATTATCAACCTATTTCTCTTACTAATTTGGATATCCGTAGATATTCCAAAATTATTTCAGAACCGCTCAAACCCATTCTTCCTACACTTTTACATCTTGACCAAGCAGGTTTTACAAAGGGGCGAGAATCTCTGGATAACACCTCAAAGACCATTTCATTAATTGAATATGCTCAGCGCCACTCTATACCTACCTGCCTTCTCGCAGTAGCCGCTGAGAAAGCTTTTGATAGGATAGGATGGTGCTTTCTGGAGGAAACCTTACTGCAAATCGGTATAGGTCTAAACTTATTTCAGAAAATAGTTGCATTATAAAAAAATACTATAGCTAAGGTCCGCACTAATTGTATACTCTCAGATTCCTTTACATTCAAAGTTTTTTTTATTATTTAAGTAAGAGATTTTTCGTTATACAAAATAACACAGGAAACACAAAAACAGAAAGGTGAGTACAAGAATGAAAGTAAAGCATTTTCTCCCCCACGTGAGCAGGGAGGCACTAAAGTCTAGAACATCAGAATCAGTAAATCCAAACCCCATAATAGCAATCAGTCTTGTAGTTCTGAATAACCAAACACTCTATGAGTATAACAAGTAGTATCATCAACTGAAGGCACATCTGTCCAATTCCGAACCTTAATAGGTCACGAAGGCATTTGTTCTGCTAATCCTAGGAGAGAACAACAGAAGGGAAAGAATAAGGGGAAAAGAGGTGAAGACTAAATGGAAAAGAATGTAGGCTCTGGACATTCGACCCCCTCTGATAGCAATTGCAGCGTGTGATGGGTGTTGTTCAAGACATGTCCAAGATACCAGTATAGTTTAACCAGGGCTCCCATATAGCCGCAAACTGAGATTGTCGATCCTGCAATACACTATACACTGAGTGGCCAGATTATTATGACCACCTGACGTTTGTAGGCAAATTAGCTATAATTAGCTATAATTTCGTGCTGAAGTTGCTAGAGGGCCAGACCATTAAAAATAGGGAAACAGGTTGTTTACCACGACAGTAGAAGCGATTTTTTTCTGAAGATATGGGTAAACAACGCGATTTAATAGCCTTTGAACATGGGATGATTGTTGGTGCTCGGAGCCATGGAGCAAGTATCGGCAAAACAAAACAGCAGAATTCATTAAATGTTCAAGAGCAGCTGTTGTTAAAGTGTTTAAAGACTGGACTGTCAGCCGAAAATCTGGGTCTGAATGTGCGAATTGTGGCCGTCAGCGACTAGTCAATGTTAGGGCAGAACGGAGAGTGGCGAGACCACTACAAGACAACAGAAGGGCAACAGTGCAGTGTCAAATTCCTTGCATCACCTTTCAACATCTCGTGGAGTCACGAGGCGGCCCAACAAAGTCATCTTGTGGAGTCATCTCATGGCCCAACGAAGTACTGATGGGGTGGTCATAATAATCTGGCCACTCAGTGTATAGCTTTTCATGT